GATTTTAATTTTTTTCGCTTTTTTCCCACAGGAATAGTGTTTGTAAATCTTGCACAAAGTTATACACTATAATAATACATATATATCTGTGTGAACTTTTGGGACCATTGGAATCAAATAGGACAAACAGGGAAAAAGTATATCCTGCAGACAAACCTCTTGGGTACAACAGGTACAAATTGTTTATTATTTTATTTTATTTATGGACGATAAAATTAGAATTGTTTTCAAAATTTTTTGTAATATAATTGAGAAATTCTCAATTCTAATTTGCTAAGCAATAATAAATGGAGGATCAAATAAGAACAAATTAACAAATCACGATTAATTAATTATAAATTCAAACTGATAACGAAAATTAGTATTATACTGTTTTACAATGATATGCGACGTGAGGTACTTTTCGACTTTATCAATACTTAGCCTTTATCAATTTGCAATTAAGAATAATAATAGTTAATAAATAAAGATTACATCGAATTTGCAATAATAATAGTCAGAAATAGTCAATACAAATACTATGTACAGAGGTACCCATTTTAACTTAACAGCCAAATAACTCAAAATATCGAGATTAAATAAAAAAATGTTTAAAACAAAAATTGTTGGATATGAAGGGGCTGATTGAACTATGACCTTGACAATGAACTTGACCTTCATTTTCAAGGTTATTTGAAGATCTACTTTCAATTTTCAAATAGAAACCCATATTTTTGATCCCGGATTTTGAAAGAGCGCAAAATTTTACGTCCAGATGAACTTTCATGTTATGGGTCAAAGTTGACCATAGAGGTCATTTCAAAAACAAATTCCTAATCGAAGCAGAAAGCCAAAAAATCTTGATTTTTCCCGGATAATGTTTGTGAGAAAAATTGTTGGATGTCGAGGGAAGACCAAACCATGACCCTGACAATGTCCTTGAACCCATATTTTCATGACCATTTCAAGATCAAGTGGGGATTTTTAATAAAATTTTATGCTACATATGTATTTTCATGTTGTGATTCTTTAGATATTAGCATATCTTACCTTCAAAATCGAAAATTAAACTTTCCATCTGATGGAGTTCCTCTATGTATCCCTTCAAAATTTTGTCTATTTAGTGCCAAAGTCACAAGT